TTCTGTTTTTACCGGAACCGCAGAAGGATGTTATGTGTGCTTCGTAGTACTTAACTTTGTACTAATATTAGAGACCTACATATCCATAATCGTGGGGTAGGCCTAATCGGTTAAGCAGTCTCTTTTGGATGTTGCCAAAGTAACCACAATATTAATTATCAGGAGATTAACTATAAGCTGACATGCACTCCACTTACTCAAGAAATAGGTTAGATTGCAGTAGGCCCAGAGGTTGTGAATATTATTAAAGATTTGTTTCATGGTAGCGAATTTCTTCATGACAGGACAGACCTAAACTCAGGACGGATTAATTAGAGTCACAGGACAATACGTCGAGGAGTTGATCGTCAAATAATTAGTCAATCTCCCTTCATTTTTTTATTACTTCACTTTATAAATACCTTACAACAAATTTTTATTAAAAATGAAGGTCCATTAACATTAACTCATAGTTATTAGTTTTCTTTATTTAAAATTTGCATTCATTGTCCACTTCACCATTATACTATTTCTGAATGCAATATAAACATTCTCTCGTATTTTATTCTTTATATTCCTCATTTTAGTTTTTTTAATTTCATATTATTTTATGATTAGCTAGTTTAGTAGTAGCGATGATAGGGAAGATGCTTTGATTATGAATACTCTTAACCATTTTTACCACCATCATTGTCATCGGATCTTCTTTATCCTCTCATGTTGAATTATTTTTTCTATAAATACTCAGCTCGCATTTTTTGTGAGGTCTTATCTTACCAATGTTGGTTTCACCTTGTTTTCGCAACTTATTCGGAGCGCCAGGGAGACCTTGTGGAACATACCTAGTTCCGTGTCTCTGCCATAGTATTTGTGATTTTCAGCATCGGACCATTGACTTGGTACAGTCCCAAACGTTTCGCCGGCATCGTCAGTGAGAGGCGTCATGGTGATAGCAGAGTCACAAGTGAAGGCAATTCCCTTGATCAATATTCTATTCAACCGTTACTTTATCTTACTGCTTGTGAATTTAAAGGCTCTTTAAACACTTACATTTATCTCTTTCAGGATTCGCTTCTCTCCCGTTTCGACCTACTCTTCATTATCCTGGATAAGGCCTGTCCTGAATCCGATCGGTTAATTGCAGAACATGTGCTGCGAGCCCATCGTTATCGTAATCCGGGGGAGCAAGAGGGCGAGGCCCTTCCTCTCCAAGTGACTACGCGACTTTTAACCACTGGCGGACAGGTTCAGACCGGTGATGGCGGGCCAACAGATTCAGAAAACTTGGATGAGACAACTGAAGATGGTCCTTTAGGGCAATCGGATATGACAAATGAAGATCAAGTCTTCGAGAGAAACAATCGACTGATAATCGGAAGTAGTTCTGGAGCCAAATCCAAGTAAGATTGATTTGTCATATTTTTTTATCTTGCTACTTATTTTTTAAAGTAGTATCCTACATATTTATATTAATTCTTCTTCAATATTCTAAGTGCCTGCTAATTTTATTTAACATGCCATATAATATTTATTTAAATTATTTGTTTTTTATTAATATAAGGTGTATACTTAAGGAACAATTTAAAGTCAAGGAAAGGCACACATTAAGGTTTTTCAAACATAGACATCAAAGTTGAGGAAACAAATCTAGAATACCCTTGAAGCAATTGATTTATCAAATGTCGCCATTCTGACGGATTTTTCTATGAACTCGCCCATAAATGCTGCAATTAAAAAGCCGACTACCTAAAAATAACCTGACAAGGACGCTTAAGAGTTAATTTCTAAAAACGTTC